AAAAATTTACTTGATATAAGTAATATAACATGAAACAAACTTTAAAATCCTGTGTTATATGCAAATATTCTAGCAGTGCTTATTGATTTTTTTTTTTACATGATTCTAATAATTGTAAATGCTGAATGAGAAAAACAGCATGTTTTAGGGGGCCGGAGAGATGGCTCAGTAGAATAAGCGCTTCCCTGGCAAGTGCAAAGGTCTGAGTTCAATCCCCGGTTCCGCCAAAAAAAAAAAAAAAAAAAAAGCACATTTTAGTAATAAGATTAGGACAGGGGCCGGGGAATTAGCTCAGTTGAATAAGCACTGGCCTGGCAAGTGCAAGGGCCTTAGTTCAATCCCAGTTCCACAAAAAAGAAAGATTAGGACAATTAGTCCCCTTATAACACAGAGAAAAAACTGTTTCTTGACCTTGGAAATATTTTTCTTTTTTGTACTGGGAATTGAACTCAGGATGTTGTATTTATCTTTGCTTGGCCTGAAATAACCATTCTTAAGGATTATTACAATTTTTTACTCCATCTTGGCAGTGTATTTGTCTTTATTCCATGTATAATTATTTTACAAACGACTGATATGTTATTAACTCACTGTTTCTATTCCATCTACATAGTTTAAAAGTAAGTCAATGTAATTTAATTATAAACTATAAAAAAAGATCCAACTCTACAATTCTCATTTCATCACCTAGTAACAATACATGGAGTAACATCCACAAACGACTAAGTCACTGAGCTGGGCAGCGCGCCAGCTCCTCTGCTTCTCCCACCACCCAGCCCAAATCAATCTCTCACTCGTGCCACCAGCGTACTCAGGCCTTGGCACACACCACTGGGGCTCACAACTCTTAGTCTGATCTCCTAGGCACCAAATCTACTCTGTTTCTTCCCAAAAAGACTATCTCTTTACTCCTTAAATACCTCCACTGGCCGCTTTTTGCTCATAAGCCCAGGCCAGTCTTCAGCATGACATCATCTACTTATAAGGGCTCTGCTACCTCTTCCCAGTGCTGTAAATCCAACACTGCAGCCACACTGAATTTTCCATTATCCTTAAAACAAGCTAAGTATTTCTAAAACCCATACCTTTGTGCATTCTGCTCCCTAACAGAACAATGACACGCTGCTGGCAAACTCCCCTCCACTCCTCAGTGCCCACACCTTTCATGAACCCGTTCTGACCTCCCCACTGAGCACACACACCTGCCCATTCCCTAATTATGAGAGACACACTGTGTATCTATCCACCTCCTCCACGACTTCACAGGGGCAGGAATTTCTTCTCACTACTTCTCAGTATCTGTGTCAATACCTATCAAGAGCTTCTATAAACATCTGGAGACCGATTTAAGTAAAAGTGACAGAGGCTATGGTCAGAAATGGTTTAGGTACAGAAAAACACACATTTTACAAGCACTGATCTTCTAACAACTGATGAAAAACATAAGCTTGACTTCAATACCTTTAAGATCTCTTTCTTTAAACTGGGTAATGGGGAACATCATGGCATCAGCAAGCTGAGTTGAAAGTACCGCATGACAAGAGCTAAGCTAGTTAGGAAAAAAAAGACCAAAAAGGCCAAGTAACTAACAGATAACATTTATAATAAATGTCTATAGAGACATTTAACCAGACTTACATAAATAAAACTACTTTAAAAGGCTGACATATTTTATAAGAAAACACTAAAAACTTTGATGTAGTACAAAATATTGAGCAGTCAAAATTTTCCATTTAAAACTCAAACTAAAACTTGGGATTTGGCAATGACTTCGTAGCTATAATAACAAAAGCGCAAAGAACAAAAGAAAATATAATTTGGACTTCATCAAAATTAAAAACTTTTGTGCATCAAATGATACTTTCAAAAAAGTAAAGATAATCCATACAATGGAATAAGATATTTTCCAATGACATATCTAATAAGTTTGTACCTAGAACAAAGAACACAAGACAAGTAACTCAATTTAAAAATGGTCAAAGAGCTGGGTGCAGTGGTACACACCTATAACCCCAGCCCTCCACAAGGCTGAGGCAGAAGAACACAATTTTGCCAAGTTCAAGCCCAACCTGGGCAACTTAGTGTCTTAGTAAGAGAAAGTCTTATAATAAAAATAACAAAAAAGGTCTGGGGAAGGACTTCTGTATGAAGGCCCTGGGTTCAATAACCAGACTGAGAAAATAAAGTTGCTGGGAACAAAGATGTAGTAAAGGTAGAACCTTGGGACTGGTGAGATAGCTCAGCAGCCTAAAGCGCCTGCTTAGACAAGCTCAGGCAGCCACAGGGGACAATTCAGTCACCAGCACCATGTGCTGTGCCAGCCACACCCTCAGGAAAATATAAATGGTATGCGCACTACAAAAAGTGTGATCTCCTACTGAGTAACTCATTTAAAGATAACAGTATGCAGTGTATTAAACACTGCTACTCTCCTATAGTCTTTTTTTTTTTTTTTTGTCTTTAAAATTAAAGCAGAAAAAGGAAAGAATAAATAAATTAAATTAAAGGCCAGGCATGACGGCACATGCCTATAATCACAGCACTCAAGAGGCTGAGGCAATAAAATCATTGCAAGTTAGAGACCAGCCTGGGCTACAAAGTGAGCTCAAGGCCAGCCTGAACTGCACAGCGAGACAGTCAAAAAAGATTAAATTAAAAAATAATAATTTTTTACAAGATCTAATTAGAGGGGCGGTCAAATAGCTCAGCAGATTAAAGCTCCTGCTTAGGCAGACGCAACAACCAAGAGTTTGATCCCGGCCTGCTCCTGCTGTGCCAGACCCACCCTGGGGCATGCTGAGACAGGGAGATTTGAGACTGGGCATGGTGGTACCGCCTTAATCCCAGGGAGGCTGAACACAGGTGGATCACTACAAGTCCAATCTATGTAGTGAGACCCTATAGACCCTTACAGAGAGAGAGAGAGAGAGAGAGAGACTGAGACTTAATTAGGACCAGGGAGATAGCCCAGTAGAATAAGTGCCTGCCTAGCAAGTATAGGGTCCTGAATTCAGTCCTCAGTAACACACACACACACACACACACACACACACAAAGACTTAGTTAAAATAAAATTTTAATAAAGTTTGGTGATTCTTCAAAAAGTTAAACATAGCTGGGCATAGTGGTGCATGCCTATAATCCCAGGATTTGGGAGACTGAGGCAGGAGCATCAGAGAGTTCCAGTTCAGGTCAGCCTGGGCTACAGAGTGAGTTCAGGGTCAGCCCTAAGCATATAGTAAGACCCCGCTTTATAAAAGGAAAAAGCTAAACACAAAATACCATATGATCGAGCAATTCTACTCTGGGTTTATACCCAAAAGAACTAAAAACTACAGTCCAGCAAAACAAATTTGTATATGAATGTTGTAGTGCTAATTAGCCAAAAGGTAGAAACTAAAATGTCCATAATAAGTGGATATACAAAGTGTGGTATATCCATATAATTTTATTCCACCAAAAAAAAGTTATGTGGGGCTGGGGAGATGGCTCAGTAGAATAAGCGCTTCCCTGGCAAGCGCAAGGGTCTGAGTTCAATCCCCGGTTCCACCAAAAAATAAATAAATATTACTAACTTGGAAGGACAACTATGGTATCTGTGCATTTTAGGGGCTGGGGAGATGGCTCAGTGGAATAAGGGCTTCCCTGGCAAGCACAAGGGCCTGAGTTCAATCCCCGGTTCCGCAAAAAAGATTAAAAAAAAAAAAAGGAATTAAGTGTAACTCATATTAAATACAGATAAACAATAAACACATGCTAAGTAAAAGCAGACAAATAGGAAAGTCCACAAATTATAAAGGTTTATTTATATTAAATATACAAAACTGGAAAACATATAGGCAGCAAGTTTACTAGTGGTTGCTAAGAACTAAGACGAGCAAGAAGATGAAAGTAACTTCAAAAGCAGACAGTTCCCTCGAGACGATGAAACTTTTCTGGAACCAGACAGTGACGAGGGGTGCGCAACATTAAAAACATACTAGCTTTCATGAGAGGCAAGCTTTATATGTATTTATCACAACGTATAAAAATGGAAAACATTCCAATTCTTTTATTATTTCTTTACATCAGTCTCCCAGGATAATTGTCATACTGAGTTAATATAGTATTTTTAAACTGGCCTAGTATACAGCTCAGCGTTAAAGCACTGGCCTAGCATGTAAAAGGACTACAAAAGGCAGCCTCCCAGATGCTGGGATTACAGGTACGCATCCCATACCCGACTATACCTCATTCTGTATTCAAAAAAATTAAAGAAATGGTCAGTGAGGCAGTTCACTCTAGCATGTTCTAAAGGCAGTTGATAGTGGTCACTTTTGGGGGAGTTTTAAGGCTGAAATACAACCATTTATAAAGTATTTTCCAGGAGCCGGGGAGATGGCTCAGTAGAGTAAGTTGCTTGCCTGGCAAATGCAAGGGTCTGAGTTCAATCCCCGGTTCCACAAAAAAAATAAAATAAAATAAGATAAAATATTTTCCTAAGTAATTTGTTAATGAAAATAATAACTGAGGGCTGGAGAGATGGCTCAGTGGTCTAAAGCACCTACTTGAAACAAGCTTGGCAAAGCACAGGGACCATGGTTTGATCCCCCAGCACCACATGCCAGCCAGCCCTGCCCCCTGGTGGGCTGAGCTGGCCACACACACACACACACAATAAATAAATGTAATAAATAAAAATAAATAAATATTTAAAAAAATAATAATAATAATAACTGAACAGTAAATGTTGCTTCACGGCAAAAGAAAAACCACGAAGGGCTAAGCGACAGTTCGCAGCTTCACCCCTCCTTCCCTGCCCTTGTCAGGTAACACAAGGAATGACATGTGGGCCAGGAGTGCAGTAAGCCCATCTCTAATCGGATTCCTGGGAAACAAGTTGGTTTTCACAGATGAAGTATTGTTTTATGAGACAGCAACCAGTATGTGCAAATAAGATCCTTCTTTCATAGTCTTTGTAACCAAGTCTTACTCCTATAATTGTAATAAAAGTTCTCAATTAAAGCTGAATAACTTGGAGCAACTTAATTATGAGAACGCTTATTCAAGGAAAAGAAGCATTTACCTCATCTATAACTTTTGAGAACTGTTGTAGAGTAGAGCTCATAACTTCATCGTCACCCCCCAGTGGGAAACGCTGAGAAGAGACAAAGATTCATGCTGTATGAATTTTGTGAACAACAACATAATTCACTTTTTCTAGTAACCAGAAATCTTACAAAATCTTGAAAAAGCTTCAAAGATGTCATTTTAATACAGCAGTTTACTAATTAATGAACATTAATCTTTTAAGCTGGCCTTACCTTAAATGTTTGCTAAGTAACCAAGTAACATGTTATATCACAATGCACATAACACGGGAAGTTCAAAGACTTTGTGTTTAGCTCCAGCTCCTCTAATGACTAACCATGTGACCTTACAGGCATCAGGTTCTTCATTTATAAAAAGTAAACAAAAGAACCTCTTTATGTAACATAAGATCATTAAAATTATCTCAATATATCAACACATAATAGTCTGTGAATTCAAGAAAACTTAAGGATTCTTTTTCTGTTGTAGCAGCAGTGGGGACTGATCTCCAGCCTTCACACGAGGTTACATTGCCAGGCTCTTTTAATTTTTTATTTTGAGACAGGTCACTAAGTAGCCCAGGAGGGGTTCAACCTTTCAAAGCTGCAATCCTCCTGTGTCACTCTCCGAGAACGCTGGGAATTGCAGGCATGTGCCATGCCACACCCAGCCACTGCTTACAGATTCTTGATGAGACAGTCCACTGTACAAATACTGGGTCTGCGCCTATGTTAAAGCATGCTCTGAGGACTCCGATACACGTACCTGTTTTTCATATTCTTTTAATAGTTTCGAAGTCAGGTGTGTTGCTGCACTTAATTCATTCTACAGAAAAAGATTGGCATTCAAATTAGCACAGTATTACTAAAACAAGCCTTAACTGAAGCTATCTAGGCCACTTTTATTTACTGTTATATAGATATTGAACAGTGCATTTTTTTTTTAATTTATGGATTTGGCACAGGGTCTCACTGTGCAGCTCAGACTCATAGTGATCCTCCTATTTCAGCCTCTCCATTGCTGGGATTACAGGCCTGTGCCACCTCGTCCAGTCTCAGTGGCCAACTCAATGCACCCGGGGAGCAGAGTGGCACAGCACACAGTACCAGGGATCCAACCCTGGTCCCTGCACTTGCCTAAGCAGGCGCTTAGTCCACTGACCAATCCCACCAGCCCTGAACAATGTATTTGTTTAAAATCCACATTAAATCACTGGAAAGGCAAATACCATTAAAGCATTTCAAAAGAAAATACAAATTATAAGAGACAATGTCAAAGAATTCACTGATGTCCCAGGTATGTTCTTTTTTGCTATTATTGTCTGGCTAATAAAAACTAAGCATTAAATATTTGAAAGTTAGAAGCAGGGCTGGGGAGCTAGCTCAGTGGTCTAAGCGCCTGCCTGGCAAGCCCAAGGATCCAGGCTCAATCCCCAGCACCACATGCTGTGCTGGCATAAGAACCCTGGAGTGCCATGATGGTCACCAAAACCTGGCGTGGGAGAGCCTGTATCAGATAAATAAAAGACTAAACAATAAAAGCTAGAAGTAAACTATATAACATTAACATAATCTTATAGAGATTCTAGATGCGATTCTAGACTGTTTTTCTCTCTACATGCGATATAATAAGTATTTAATAACAGACAAGTCAGGGCTGAGGAGATGGCTCAGTAGAGTAAGTGCTTGCCTGGCAAGGGCCTGAGTTCAATCCCTGGTCCTGAAGAAGAAAAAAAAAAAACAGACAAGCCATGTGTGATGGTGCATGCCTTTAATCCCAGCACTCAGGAGACTGAGGCCAGAAGACTGCTGCAAATTCAAAGCCAGCCTGTGCTACCTAGTGATTTCTGACGTTTTTTGCCTTTTTGAGATAGGGTTTTGCTATGCATTTTAAGCTGGCCTTGAGCTCACTATGTAGTCTATGCTGGCCTCAAACTCACAGTGATCCTCCTTCCTCAGCCTCCTGAGTGCTGGGATTACAGGTGTTCATCACCACCCCGCTACATAGTGATTTCAAGGCCAGCCTGAACAACACAGCAAGACCCTGTCCCAGGCCGGGGAGATGGCTCAGTGGAATAAGCGCTTCCCTGGCAAGCACAAGAGCCTGAATTCAATCCCCAGTTCCAACAAAACAAAAACAGACAACCAAAATGTGCTTGACTTACTCATAACATAGCCATATTTAACACTTTTTCATTTCAAAATTTCTTTTACAGTGAAAAACATGATAGCTTATACTAATTAAATATTTGCAGTCAAAAATTTGAGCGATGGGCTGGCCAAATAGCTCAGCAGACTGAAGTGCCTCCAAGCAGGCACAGGGGACAGGGGTTCAATACCTGGGCCTGACCCGGGGATGGCAATTGAGACTGGGAGTGGTGGTGCACACCTGTAATCCCAGCACTTCGGAAGCCATAAACAGGAGAGAATCACTATGAGTTTGATTAGTAGTAAGATCCTGAACACCCTGTAGACCCTTTCCTAAAAATAAAAAGATAGACAAAAAATTTTTTAAAAAATTGAGTGGGGGCCGGGGAGATGGCTCAGTGGAATAAGCATTTCCCTGGCAAGCGCAGGGGCCTGAGTTCAATCCCCAGTTCTGCCAAAAATAAATAAATAAATAAATAAATAAATTTATTTTTTAAAAAATTGAGCAAAGCAAAAAAGGTAATCACCATAGCACCTTTTTTCACTTTTTAGAGACTGGGTTTCTCTCTATAATTCAGATTGGCCTTCAACTAAGTAGCCCAGGCTGGCCTTGAACTCATGGGAATCCTCCTGCCTCAGCCTCCTGAGTATAGGGATCACAGGTATGTACCACTATGCCCAGGAATAGTAATGTTTGTTTGTCCTTCCTTCCTTCCTTCCTTCCTTCCTTCTATCCTTTCTTCCTTTTGGTAGTGGTGGTGTTAAAAATCAGGGATGCTCTCTGAGATAAAGACACATTTCTCAGATGAAGAAATACAAATGGCAAATAAATATGACAAAATGTTCAACATCATTGGTTATTTGAGAAATGCAAATTTTAAAAATGCTGAAATTCTATCTCACTCCAGTAAGAATGGCTATCAAGAAATCACCAAATAAAAATGCTGGCAGGACTGTGGGGAAAAAGGAACCTTTCTCTGCTGTTGATAAGAATTTAGGCTGGTGCAACCATTATGGAAATCAGTGTGGAGATTCCTCAAAAAACTAGGACTCGGGCAGGAAGATAGCTCAGTGGCATAAGCACCTACCCGGCAAGAACCAGGTCCTGAGTTCAATCCCCAGTACCAAAAAGAAAAGGCTGGGATTAGAAGTCCCACTCAAACCTGCTATTCCCTTTTTGGGGTATTTTTCCAGAAGAATTGAAAACGAAATAGCTAAATCTTAGGAACAACCCAAATGCCTATCAACCAAGGAATACATAAAAAAGATGTGGTATTTTTATATAATGGAATATTATTCATATACTTTCAGCTATAAAGAAAGATAGGGGGCTGGAGAGATGGCTCAGTGGTCTAAAGCACCTACTTGGAACAAGCTTGCCAAAGCACAGGGACAGCGGTTC